CCACCGGGTCGGTGCTCGCCGGCGCCGCCGAAGTCCCCCCCTCCCCCGCCCCACTCACCCCCGCCATGTTCCGGCTCGTGTCTGGCGTCCGCCCTACCTTCAAGGGCATTTCGCCCTTCTCGTCGGCCCTGCGCCACTCGTCCCTCGGCGCCGCCCGCTACTTTGCCTCCGTGTCCGAGGGTAGGTCCTTCTGCTGACCTCATACTCCGTGTGTCCACCGTGCTCTGACCCCGATGCTCCTGTCCATCCACCCCTGGATGCGATGCCCCCGCTGCGTCCCCTTTCCGTGTGCCTGCCTCTCCCTCCCCCTCTCCATGGCCGGCCTTCCCTCGGACGAGCAGATGACCTGGCCAAGGCTCGTGCCAAGCCCCTCTTCAACACCATCCTCATCGCCAACCGTGGTGAGATCGCCTGCCGTGTGATCCGCTCTGCCCGGCGTCTGGGCATCCGCACCGTTGCCGTCTACAGTGATGCCGACCGGAACTCCCTCCACACCCGTCTCGTACGTGCTTGCACACCCGCCCACACACACGCACACAGCCATCCTCCTGCCTCATCTCCTGTCGCCCGTTGCTGGTCTTTTCCGCCACTTTCCCCTCTGCCCCTCTCACCTTTCTCTCTTTCTCTCGGTCTGTCTCGCTCCCCTCGCTATTCACCACTCGCTACTCGCGTCTGGATTCTCGTTCGCCACAGGCCGACGAGGCCTACCACATCGGCCCTTCCCCCTCGGCCGACTCGTACCTCCGGTCGGATCGCATTCTCGAGGTGGCCGCCAAGACCGGCGCCCAGGCCATCCACCCTGGCTATGGCTTCCTTTCGGAGAACGCCGCCTTCGCGGAGCTCTGCAGCAGCCGCGGCATCACCTTCATTGGCCCGCCGCCGCAGGCCATCCGCGACATGGGGTCCAAGTCGGCCTCCAAGCGCATCATGTCCGAGGCCGGGGTCCCCGTGGTCCCGGGCTACCATGGCGACAACCAGGACGATGCCCACCTGGCGGCCGAGGCCGAGGCCATCGGCTTCCCGGTCCTCATTAAGGCTGTCATGGGTGGCGGTGGCAAGGGCATGCGCATTGTCGAGCGTGCTGAGGACTTCCCCGAGGCCCTGGAGTCGGCTCGTCGTGAGTCCCGCAACTCCTTCGCCGATGATCGCGTCCTGGTGGAGAAGTATCTGCAGCGGCCACGGTGCGTTCCCCGCCCCCCCCCCTTCCCGTCGCCGGTTTCATGTTCCTTGCTTTGCCTTTCGCCTGCCTGCCCGCTGTGCCCCTGTGCTCACCTCCCTCATACATACACATGTCTCTCTCTCTCTCTCTCTCTCTCCCCCCTCCCCCCCCCCCCACCGGCTATGCCCCTGCATCCACCTAAATGGCCTGGATCCAGCCACGTCGAGGTCCAGGTCTTCGGCGACACCCTCGGCAATGTGGTGCACCTGCACGAGCGCGACTGCTCGGTGCAGCGCCGCCACCAGAAGGTCATCGAGGAGGCCCCTGCTCCCAACCTGTCGGCTGAGGTCCGTGCCGAGCTTGGTCGCCAGGCGGTGGCCGCTGCCCGCGCGGTCGGCTACGTCGGCGCCGGTACCGTGGAGTTCATCATGGACGCCGACCGCCCGGAGAACTTCTACTTCATGGAGATGAACACTCGTCTGCAGGTGGAGCACCCGGTGACTGAGCTGGTCACTGGCGCCGACCTGGTCGCCTGGCAGCTGGAGATCGCCTCCGGCCGGCCTCTGTCCCGGTCCCAGAGCGAGATCCCCTGCCGCGGCCACTCCTTCGAGGCGCGCATCTATGCCGAGAACCCCGAGAAGTACGCCCATCTGTCCCGCCTCTGAGCCGCTTCCCCTTTTCCCCCGTCCCCCCCCCCCCTCTCTCTCTCTCTCTCTCTCGCCCTTCTCACTCATGTTTCTCGCACCCATTCAGCAACTTCATGCCCGACACCGGCCGCCTGGTTCACCTGTCAACCCCGGTGCCCAACTGCGATGCCTCCCTGGGTCTCGGCTCGCTCAACCGCTTCCCGGCCATTGAGACTGATGGCCAGCCGAAGGCCGGCCTGGAGCTGACCGACGGCTTCGACATGGCGCCACTGACCCGTGTGGAGTCCGGTGTGCGTGCCGGCGACGAGGTGTCCGTTTTCTACGATCCCATGATTGCCAAGCTGGTCGTTTGGGATACCGATCGTGAGGCCGCTCTGCGCCGTCTGAACGACGCGCTGGATCGCTACCATGTGCGTTTGCTCGCCATCTCGCGGGCATCTACCCTGCATTTGTCCACTCCCCCTCCCCCCCCCCCCCTCCCCTACCGCACCAGCCCCAAGCGCTCTCTAACGCCCCAGCCCATGTGCCTCTCCTCTGCACTCGCATCGCCATGCGCCGAGCTCAGGTTGTTGGCCCCCGTACCAACCTCTCTTTCCTCCGCCGCCTGGCGTCGCACCCTGCCTTTGCTGGGGCCGAGTTGGAGACCGGCTTCATCGACCTCCACCGCGATAGCCTCTTCCCTGAGGGTACCACCAGCGACTCGCCTGGGCCCATCTCCCTCGAGTCCGTTGTGCAGGCCACGCTCCATCTCCTGCTGGAGGAGAACAAGCAGACCGCTGCCTCCGCGTCTAGCTCTCAGTGTGCGTCCCCCCCTCGCACACTTCCCCCGGGCCCGGTACTTGCCCACTCGATGACTGACATCTCCCCTCCCCCCTCCCCCCCCTCTCTCTCTCTCCCTCTCCCCTTTGCGCCTTTTCCCTCTTCCTGGGGCTCTACCCCCTGCCACTGGCAGTCCCTGCTTCGCCCACTTGGTCCAGCGGCGCCTTCCAGACCAACCTCCTGACCAGCCGCGTGTTCAACTTCAATGTCCCGACCGCGGCCGGCGCCGCGTCCACCGACCCCGCGTCCAAGATCGCCGTCACTGTCACCTACCAGGCCGATGGTAGCTACCGCATGGAGGTGGTTGGCGAGCGGCTGGCCTCGGCTGGCACCGCAGCCGGCACCGCGGCCGACCCCATCATCCTGGAGAATGTCCGTGGGTCTCGCATTCCGGCCCATGGGAATGAGGTTGGCGGCAGTGTTGCCCCCGGGGGGACCGCCGGCGAGCTGGTCACCGACCTGCTCCAGAGCGAGTGGGCCCAGCACCTGGGCACCGCGCGCGTGGTGGCCCGCCAGCTGGGCGACGAGTCGCAGTCCATCCAGCCGGAGCGCGAGCTGCACATCCTGCGCGCGCGCGACAGCGCCCGCCATGTTCTCCGTCTGGATGTGCCGAAGTTCGTGTCCAAGCTTGAGGAGGGTGCCGATGGTGCCTCCGGTGCCGGTGGCTTCGGCTCGGTCCTGGCTCCGATGCCCTGCAAGGTGACCAATGTCTCGGTGGCTGCCGGGGACATTGTCTCCCGCGGCCAGACCCTCATGGTGGTGGAGGCCATGAAGATGGAGGTATGTGAAGCATCTGCGCCTGATGCCCCCCCCGCCCGAGCATCCCGGCATTTTTCCCTTCTTCCTCTTCTACTCCTTTTTCGGCTGCAACTTCCTCCTTCCGGCCGCTCCTTGTTACTCACGCTCTCACGCGTCGACTCCCTTGCTCTGGCGGTATTGTTGTCCCTTTGTAGCACGTCGTTCGTAGCCCGTCCGACGCTCGCGTTGCCCGTGTCGTGCATGCCGTTGGCGACCTGGTTGGCGAGCGCCGTCCTCTGGTTGTCCTCGAGCCCATTGAGGGCGAGGAGGAGAAGTAAACACCTGTTCCTCTTCTTTGCTCGCCGCCGGGTTACCCCGGCCTCCACACTTGCCGTGCTGCCCGATGCTTATTGCTCTCTCTTTCTCTCTCTATCTCTCTCTCATGTGGGGATGTTTCGCCATTCCCCCTGCCCTGCAGGCGGAGAAGGGAATCGCACAAACACACACATATATGCCCGCTTGCCTGTTCGGGGGGAGAGAGAGGGAGAGAGAAGGAGACGGCGACGCAACAGCACGCATGCTTGCGCGCATCGAAGTACCGCTGCCGAGAGTTTCCACCCTCCTTCCCCCCTCTCTCTCGCGTGGTCCACTGTGCAGTGGCTCCGGCACCATGTCCCCGCCCTGCGCGTGGAAATGCATGCATACAGCGAACAATAAAGTCAAATTGGATCACAACAGACGGCCTCCCTCTCCCCCCCCCCCTTGACCCTGTTCTGTGCCTCGCCGTTTGTGTGCTTTTTCACAGGAGGCCTCCTCTTTGGCACCGTTCACACTCTTGCCTGTCAAGCAGGAGGAGCGCCGGTTGGACACGCGCGGGGCACACGGACTTTCGCCGCTCATTGTGGTGAAAGCGAGACTTTCCCCGAAGGAGAAGAGGAGCGAATGTAGTCAAGTGTATTTTCTGAATGCGCACAGGAAAGTGGAAGGCAGGAGAGAGCAGGTGGCAATAGACGGGGTCAGGATCTCGGTGCGCGAGGGGGGAACAGCGGCGAGAGCAGTAGCCATGCGAGATGTGATTGACGACATACAACAGCGAGGGGAAGGTGAGTGGCCGAGGGGCATATGGAGGAGGGAAGGGACGGCTTCTCCCTGCCTCTTCCATGTTCTCGCGCAACTCATCGGTGTATATGTGATTATAGAGGCGCGTGGCGCCGCCAGGGCGGGGAGTGAGCATGGGGCCCAGCTGGCGTATGGATGGGAGAGGGGCGCGCGCGCGCGCGCGGTGGCTGGCATTTTACCAGAAGGGGTTGCTCTTGGGGTAGTCGTAGGCCTGGGTCTCGGCCTCCTCGTTGTTGACGGCCTCCCACTTGTTGAGAAGGTAGGATTCATCCTGGAATGTGCGAAGATGAACAGCGCATGGTCATCATATGTTCCGAGAGGGAAGGCGCGCGGGGCGCAAAGGGCAGGACACACAAGAGGAGACGACTGTCAGAAAAGTGCCCCTTTCACACAGAGGGGAAGGCACGAAAAGAGGTGGCGCTGTACGAACCTCAAAGGTGTTGGTCCACATGTACTCAGGAAGGACCTTGTGCTCGAGGGAGAGCTGGAGGGCGTTCTGTGTGATGGAGAGCCGGCGAGGGGGGGAGGGAGGGGGGGGGGAGATTTAGGAAAGGCAAAAGATGTCGGTCAACGGGGGCGCGGCGTATTTGGCAAGGGCCGGGTGGCTGAAGGCAAAGGTACCTTGAAGCGGTAGTTGCGCTCGTAGATGGTCGTGTCATCGAGACGGCGGAGGGCCTCGGTCATCTGAGGGGTCTCGGCGATGAGAAGGTCGTCGGTCTTGAGACCTGCATGCACGTGCAAGTGTATATGTGTGAGTGTTTGGCCATGGACACATGCAAAGGACTCGTGCAGGAGCCGGGTCATCAGCCGGACGAGCAGGAAGTACGAACGCACCATACTGGTAGTGGCCCATGGCGCTCACATAGCGCATGGAAAGGCGAAGGAGCGGGCCGGACCAGAAGGGACTCTTGAGAATGGCGCGAGCGATCTGGAACTCCATGGTGATGATAGAAAACTATGGCAAGCTGCAGGGAGGAGGGAACAGTGCGCGACCGGCAGATGAGGTGGTTAGCCGTGCGGCAGTAGAGAGAGAGAGAGGAAGCACAGGCAGGGGAGGCAAGGAATGGCGGAGGGAGGGGAGGGAGAGGGCAGAAAGAGAGAAGAGGGACTCACCAGGGTGAGTGGCAGGATAGTTGACTATTGTGAGGCCCCCACTGACGTGTGCCCATCTGGCGCCGGCCGAAGAGTTGTCCCGGGTCCAAGTGCACCGCGCGGCTGGGAGGCGCAAACACGCTCATCGCCGGGAGAACGGTGAGCGTGAGCCCGTCTTACTCATCACCCCTCATCAGCCCGGGACTTGGGGGGGGGGGGGGGGGGGGGGGGCAGGGGGAAGGCCTCCTGTCTGACCATCTCCACGCCTCTCCCGCCCCCCTCCTGCTGCCCTGGGCATTGGTGGAGGAAAATGTGGATGCACGTCCGGATGTGGCCCCGCCCGGGGCCAGGGACAGCGCGCGCGCGTGCGCGGGGTGGCCGGCCGCAGCCCCCCTTCTGGAAGGGTGTGTGTAACCATACTTCTTC